CATCACTAAAGGCGTGTCATTCATGACTTGAGGTGAGGTTTGTGTTGCAGGCATTGGCTCTCCTGAATCCTAATCGGTACAGCTTTCGGTACGGCACCTGAACGGATTCACAAAATGATCTGATGTTGGCGTTCCGTCTTCATCAGGGGTGTCAAACTCAATTTCAATGAGGGCAGCATCAGGGTTGTGTTTGACCTCAGGGGGGGGATGGTGGGGGTGTGGCCCACTCGATGTCACTCGTGTCAGGGTCGCCTGTAGCAGCCCAAGCGCTCTGCCAGCAAAACAGGCTTCCGAGCTCCGTTTTGGCTGCAATGGCCTCCTGCAACTCTCTTTCATTGAGGGCCACATCAGGGTTGTGTTTGACCTCAGGGGGGAGGGGATGGCGGGGGTGTGGCCCACGCAACATCACTCATGCCATAGGCAACCCGAGTGCTCTGCCGGCAAAACAGGCTTCAGAGCTCCGTTTTTGGCTGCAATGGCCTCCTGCAACTCTCTTTCATTGAGGGCTGCATCAGGGTTGTGTTTGACCTCAGGGGGGAGGGGATGGCAGGGATGTGGCCCTTGACATCACTCATGCCACAGGCAACCTGAGCGCTCTGCCAGCAAAACAGACTTCCGAGTTCCATTTTTGGCTGCAATGGCCTCCTGCAACTCTCTTTCATTGAGGGCCACATCAGGGTTGTGTTTGATCTCGGGGTGGGAGGATGGTGGGGGTGTGGCTCACTCGATGTCACTCGTGTCAGGGTCGCCTGTAGCAGCCCAAGCGCTCTGCCAACAAAAACAGGCTTCCGAGCTCCGTTTTTGGCTGCAACGGCCTCCTGCAACTCTCTACCAGTGAAAATGGAGCTCGGGGAGGCGGGGGACATGTTGCCCTCGCAAGCTCCGTTTTCGTTGGTAGAAGCACCGTGAGCCAGTCCTTTGATTTTTCCAGGGCGGCCCCGGAAATGTAAGCACCCCGGTGGCCAGATCCGGATCCTGGGCCTTGAGTTTGATACCCCTTGGCCTTCACTGTAATCAGAAAATTTATCTAGCCTTCAATTCAGTACAGACAGTCCCCACGTTCAAAGCTACAACGGACTCCCCGAAACTACTTGCCGCCCAGTTTTGAAATTAGGACAGCTGCACACACATACACCCCTGTGGTACACTTGGCAACCAGCTTTC